TTTCGTTTATAGTTTAATAAACGTGGTAAGCTAAGGATAATATTGGTCAAACGGTATTTGCCAATAGATATTTTACGATAGTTTCATAGCGCAGCAGCTGTAAAGCCCCGGAAGGGTGACGCGTGTGCTTCTCTCCTATCAACTTTCTGTGTGATTGTTCCTCTATGACGACTTCCAGAACGTTCTTCATACTCCACTTATTACATCCCCTTTGATATTCTCTGCAGGTGTCTCACTGGAAAACAATTCTGGGGGTTATTCATCTGCTATGCAACTGCTGAATGTGTTCCGATGTTGTGTTTCTGAGTTTCTGGCAAGTAGAAAAATTATTAATTACACTCCGACAGTGTTATCACGTGAGATATTCCAAATCCCGGCATCTAATCGGCGCAAAGGATGCCATTTTCTTTCCATTCCATGACACCTCCAACTGATATTGTCCCGATCTTCCGTTCTTCTTGCCCACTGGTCGCCAACCCCCGATCAGTGGATAGAAGGAGACGATAAAAAATCAGCATACATTTCTGAAGGCTAACTATTATGAATGACGGTAAAACTAGTTCGTTAGGCCCGGTTTGAAACAAAAGTGTGCTCAGGCTAGAAAGAGCGCAATGGATATTTTGTACGAATGATTGTGGATAACTCTCTGAGCGTTTCACTGTGCATTAAATTTGGCTAGACGAGATAAAAGGTTCATGGCGATTTACGAATGGAATGTTTCAGCGCAATCGTAATCCATTCCACATGTAAATCACCCATATCCAGGAATCCTTCAAACGCTATAACAATGAAACGTAAGACAGTATAGGGAATTATTCTCACTCCATCAGGAGAAAGCAACCCTGCCACTGAACTGGAGGAAACCAATATCTCAAGACCCTCATCCATGAACAATTCAACAGAGTCGACTGGAAGTTAAACAGGATGTACAAACCAAAAGGAACGACCACCACCAAAGAAGATTTCTAGCACCGCCCGCTTCTACTTTTCTCATACCATAAGGACTTAAGAAAAACACTCAAACGCTTCATGGCCAGGTATGAGGCAATCAAGGTTTTCAGATCCCCAAACAAGGTTGGCAGCCTCTTGTGTTAACGAAACAATACGAAGCCGAGGTAGTCTATTGGATAACCTACTCTTGAGGAGACAGCTGCAATGGAGAGAGCGGGAGAAAGCTGAAAAACACGACTAGGGAACACACGCCTTGTCTAGGCAGAACAGACGAGGATGGCTCTTCTTTACGTCACTCAAGGGGATGGAAGCTGTGCAGCGAACTCAACTGGTGAAAAAGAAAGATTTTCGGAGCAGTCGCGGTAGAACGTATAAAAAGCAAAATCAACAGGAAGGAAGAGACTAAGAAAATCATTCCAGCATGGTTTCCTCTTTTACATGAGTAAACTGTCAATAAATGTATTCTACCGTCTCTCACATGTTACGTTACACACTCACTACTACACTCATGCAGTTTGGCCATAATACGAAAATCATTTAAAATGTCTCAGGAAAAGCCACGAG